GCCTTCACTGCACAAGGCAGAGCCCTGTCTGGGTGTGTGCAGGCAGTAATCCATTACACACTGCCTCCTCACACATCTTTACTGGGCAGATTCCCCTGCAGTCCAAAGCAAACATTTCACAGCAGGAAACTGCTGCTAAAAGAGAAAGGAAATACTAATGGTGTATAAATAAGTTCCTATCATCTCATGACAATAACAAGATTGAAAGCATCTATATTTCAAGCAGTATTTACTTCTCCCATCTTGACTTTTACCGTTCTTTTCTACTTAAACCTCTTTTTAAATAATAAATAAATTCCCAAAGCCCTTATTATGAAAGCAATACCTCTTTTTTGAAAACTCATCTCCCCTTTTTTTCATCTGAGTCCCATAGAGATAATTTTCTCTTGGCAAGGGGGCAGATGAGAAATAGAGATGGTAAAAGAGGACATATGTGCCAAATGAAATTCCTCTGGGATAGCTGGCAGTAATCTTAACTATAAAAACGCTACTGGCCGATGGCTGTTGATGGCATAAGCCAGGAGAGCACCTGCCACCAGCTCAGTGGATAAATTGGCTGCCTGGTTACTTCTAGACATGGCCAAAGTGATGCTCTGGCCATGAGGAGCATCCTGCTGCAGAGAGCATCCATGCCATTGTCCCATGTTGGCCCTGTAGCTCTGTGCCACTAGACAGAGTGGAAAGCACACACTTCATTTCTAAACAAGTGTTGAAGAGCTTAACACTCACTTCATTCCTTCTTTATTTTTATCCATCATTCAAAAAACAAATGGGATAAACTTCTGGGGAAGAAGATCTAGAAAAACTGTGAAAATTCAGTAAAGCAAAGCTTCATATTTTGTTCCTGAAGGAAAATGGAATAAATGAAAGAAAAATAGAAAAGGAAAGAAAGAAACAAGATTTATTAGTATTACATTATGAGACTAGAAAAGCTGGTAGAATTAGTAAGCTCTCAAAGCTGGACCATGCTTCTTCAGACCTTTAATCAGAATTGAGGCTGGTAGCTTCTGAGGAATAATGTAATAGATAAGTTCAGGGAAGCCAAGTGAGACTGTGGAAAAGTGAAACACAAGGATGCATCCTTGGAGTGTCAGAATCCTAAAGTGTAACTGCAACTTTTTTCTCTGATGCTGCCTGACAGCAAAGTAGAGAATCATTACAAATTGGGAGGAGGAGAGGAAAGAAGGAAAGGGAATCTGTTGTACATAGATCAGTGTTCCTGCACTGGTGATTTAGAGAAGATAATTTTGACATGGTACAGTTGTAAAGTATAACTAAACTGATTTCATGGCAAAACCATCTATGTGCTCATAGAATGAGAGACAGTGAAAGAGAAGTCCAAAATCTTATGGGTAAACTGTTATCTATTTCTTCTCTCAGTATAAATATCTGCTTCAGCAGAGAATTTGGGCAGTGCTCTCAAACACAGGCTTTGCATTTTGGGTATTCCTTTGTGGAGCCAGGAATTGGACTCAATGATTCCTGTTGGCTCCTTCCAACTTGGGATATTTTATGATTCTGTGGCTCTAGTGAACAAGTGGTTAATTCAGCCAGAAAACAGACTGGAGAAAGAATATAGCAACGGGAAGCTAAACCACTCTGATGGGACAAGGGATGCAATGGGTTGAAATGGAAGAGCAGAAGAAGTGAGTGTTGGGCAGTGGCATATGTGTTGAATACAGTGAGTGTGGGAAGGGTAACTCATGTGGGGGGCACAGGAACTGCATAGCTCAGGCTCTGGACATGGCATAGTGGCACTGGTCCTTCCTCTGCACTTCTGCTGTTTCTCACTCAGCACTATCCTGTGGGTTTTGTCCTCCCTTGCAATTTAGAAGATAAAACTAAAGAGAAAGAAAAATAATTTTGCAAACTAGAGAGAATTGCTATTATACCTCATTGGAAAATCTTCGAAGAGTAACCAGGTAGTAGAAAGCATTTTGTTGTTGCAGTTTGATATGCCTTGTTCATGTGCCATCACACCCTCTCCAAAACCACACACACGTCTTCCTCCCCAAGACCTGCACTCATCTCTGCTCCCAGCTCCAATTCCTGCTTAGGCCAGTCCTGCTGGCTGCAGGCACCCAGCCCAACTCTGGGCTTAGGTGGCTACAACCAAGACAAAGCTACTGTCCCAACTGTCCCAGTTAGTCATGGATTTACTGATGGATTTGCTGGGGTTTGCAGCTCGTACTCAGCACACAGCCAATCCTGGTACTGAAAATACCTTTGATGGGGAAAGATCTTCATCATAGCTGGCAGTCCCTAGAGCAGGGTTTGTAGATGAGGGGGAGGAAGGTGGAATCTGCTTCTGTCGTCTCTCTCTGCTTTCTGTGTGAGTAATTAAAGATCAACATTGCTTAAATTGCACAGCAGCGCATCTGAAGGGCTGCACAGCAGAGCAGCCAGTGCAGCAGAGCTGCTCATTTAGCTCTGGCTGGCTCCAGATGGTGCAGGCTCCAGCCTGTGACTTCAGTGGGGCTAATGGGATTAAAGAGCAAAAAACTTTCTCCGCTGAAGTAAAGAGAAATGACAGGGTGAATAATATGCAGCTTTTAAAGTTCCATTTGAGATGTTTCAGCTGCCAGAAATGTTGCCCTCTTTGTCTGAAGTCGGAATCTTTTTCCCTTAAATTAAAATGATTGTCAATTTATGCAATCAAGGCAAAAGCCAAAAATGAGTTATGTGGTTTTAAAAAGTAATCACTTAAAAATATCTAACAAACATAAATGTAACTGCCTGCTTAAAATAGGCAAAATATAATATGCTCAGTAACAATATTTTCTAATTTAACGATCAGTATGCAATTACAAAGCAAGCTGTGTTTTCCACGGCACCTTCCATCAATTTAAATGCAATATGACATATGAAACACTCTCAGGAACGTTATTCCACTATGTTTATTTGCTTTGCCTTTATGTATTCATCACAGCACTGCACACAATCGTTACTGCAATTTCTTGGAAACCTTTATGCCTTGCATTCTTTGCTACTTTATCCATCACTGAAAGCAAGGTAGTCTGAATGACAAATCTAGAGATCTAAAAAGTACTGGGAAACTTGTCTGTAATTCTGATGGGTTTGGATTTTGCCAGGCACTCTGCTATAGCCAATAAAATGCTCTGCTCACTGTATCTTCTTCTGGAAAAACAACAGTTTTACTAAAGTAAGACTAGGAAATGTCTACGTGACAGATCAAATAATTGAAACCGGAACTGGTCCGAGTTAACTTTCAATGACATGAAAAAAACACATTTTTAAAAGATGAAGTCTACAGAATGTCCCTGGTTTCCCTTTTCAGTCATTTTCTGTCCCCAGAACAGTGTTAGCTTTTGGGGAAAGAAACTGAAGCAAAAAAACGTTTGTAGCAATCCAAGTTTTCTTTTTAGCCCAAAAACGACTAGGCCCATCTCAGAATACAAGAATTTGCCATTTATCATATTAAAACCTAATTTTTTGTTCTTCAGGCTCTTTGTATCATTCTATTTTTCACTTTCATGGAGAGAGAATGCTCAGATGCTGTCCTGTCACCTCCACCTTACCCAAAAGCAGGAGCAGATGGAGTTTTGTCAAATGCCCTGCTCAGCCCCAGCTATTCTGTTGAATAGATTTGCTAAAAGTAATTATTCTCAAACTAAGCAAAAGATCATTGAAAAGTTTAAAAAAAAACTTTAAAAAGCCATCTTCTGCTACAAGAAATAGAAAACGAGACCCACTTTGTGAATTAAAAGGGCAAGGTCCAGAGTAACATTCCAACATTTTTATTTTTAACAGTGTAAGAAGTGCTTAAAAAGCAGCGATGACTGTTGTAAGTGATGACTGCTGTAACTCACATGCCACTTGCTGCAGGATAGACCCTGCCCTCACCAACATCCTGGTATGCCTGCTGTGGACTTCCACTGAAATTGTTTCTAATGATTCCAGTTCCTAGAGATGGACACTTCAAAAGGCTGCTTGCACGACAAAAGAAACTGAAACTTAAATACTATCTTTGTGATTTGTTTTTATTCGTGAAAGCACTATGTCCTTTTATACCTTCTTCATTTTTTCTTAACAGTCTTGTTTGTGTGTATGAAAATGAAATTAAAGTAGCAATGCGTTTACCATACTGAACACCAAGGACGATGGCACTCTTTTTTCTTTTAGGAAATGGATACTTTTGAAGTCAATAGCGTGTAAAACAGCATTGTAAATATTTGTTACTTCAAGCAATAGCTGCTCTATTTAATTGGTAAAAATAGAAGACAGCTTTAGAATTTCATGAAGTCAGTGTTGTTGCTGCCTTCGTGTAGTGCAATCATCCTTCAGTTTGTAGCATTGTGGTTTAGCAGTTTCTTTCCCAGCCTAAAAGCTGGTATTGTTGAAAGGAAACATAAGTAGTATTGTAAGGTAAATAAAATTAATTCCAATATATTTTCTTAGTAAACACAAAGGCGAAGACACCCAGTATAGAAAGACCTTTTGATTCAGGAATGAATGAACGAATAGATAAATAAATAAAAATAAAAAAAACAAATTCAGGATAGAAGATACTTATTTTTCAAACTTGTCTCTCCACGTTTAGCTCATGCTGCAGTGGGATAATCGGGCCCCTTCTGCAGCCAGGTGGCAGCTCAATTGTTGGCAAGGGGGAAGCTAGGAATGGGTAGTTAGCCCTGATCCCCAGCACCTGGTACAAAGGCTATTTCAGAAGCCAGAGAAGCATGGTGGTGTCTGAAAAGAGCAGGAAGATCTTCCACCTTGGTTTGAACGAGGTTAGTGATGGTCTTACTTGCTAGTATCTTCACTTTGTTAATGAGATAAAGAAGCCCAAAACAGTATCTCTGATATTGCTTCAGAGTTGGTGTAGTGCTTGCTGCCCCACTGGGGCAGATGTCAGCAGGCTGCAGATTTTGTTCTCTGCTGTGTTGATTGCTCTGTGGATTATGGCTGTTGGCTGCTCTCATGGCATGGGTAGAACAAGGATCAGGCTGTGGAACTCCAGTTCAGCTTCAGGCTCTGTAAAATAACTTCTATACAGCTGTTTCATGGTTGAACTTCTTATCTTAGGTAAGAAGGAAAACTGGAAGCATTAAGCTGCTGCTGGCATCTTTCTGGAAGGTAAGAACAGGTAGGGAGGGATCTGAATTTGGACCGTATAATTAGTTCACGTGTAATACAAATCATCCCAGCCAGAAATCAGCTCTTCTGCAGAGCAGTCCTCTCCTCGCATACTGTAGTGCATGTCTGCCATGTGGTGGGTAAGGGACGCTTCGCTTTACACTCTTTCTTGGTCTAGTAAGCTCCATGACCTTTCAGTGAGCAATTTGCACTCAGCACAGCAAATCAGCTTGTCTGTTCTAACAAGCACTGCTGAGCTAAGAGCGAACACAGATACTACACACATAGTGCACAAAACTAAGGTAACTTTGTAATACATTATGATAGAAAGAGAGGTATAATACTCGCAGATGAGCTCCTTTCTGTTCTAAAGCTTTTGAATAACTGCTCCGTCCTCTGGAAAGCACAGCTGGACGTGGTTGGTTAAAAGGCAGAGGGCTGTGCTCCAGACATTCACGTAGAAGGAGCAGTCAGATCGATATCAATCTCTGCAGCCTGCTGCTGTTACAAAGGATCACAAGTGCATCTTGTTCCACTGTGTTTGTGCCCACAGGAGAAATCTAAGTGGGCTGGATGATGCTGTTGCCCCTGGGATGTTGCAATAGAGATGCTGAGAGCAGCTAAGACATCAGGCTAGTGAAAGCGGGAGTCAGTGAGCTCTGGTATTTGATGTAATGAGATAAATTAAGGGTAAAGAAAGGAGTAGAGAAGGAAAAGTGTTTCTAATGCTAACTATATTAGTGCTAATATAATATAGCGCTAATTATGTTGTTGAGGTGTGCATTGTCTCCTTTTGAAAGATAAGCTACTTTTTGTGATAGGAGATGGCAGATTTCAGGGCTGTATGTCAGCAACTGGGAAGGAAGACTTTTGTGATCTCAGTAGGAAGCTCTAGCACGAAATGGCACTATATCTGTGCTGGAACACTGCAAACCAAAGCTCCTTTCTCTGGTACAACTGGAGTAATACATTTCCAGGGAGCTTTAATGGAATGGATACTCCTTAGTGTAGTGTATAGGCACTAAATATTGGAAGAAAGAGAACTAAGCTAGTCCAAACTGTCATTCTCAAATTATTAAATCTATATTCTGAGATTCCTTCTGGGAAGATTTATACTGTCTTTGCTTTATTTTCTAATTTCCCTAAATATATTAGTATCTCATTGGGAAGTATCTGCAGCCACTTTATCCCTTTTCTGGGCCAACTAGCACTATTGGTGCATGGCAGAAAGCAGCTGTAACCCTGCTATGAGGGAGCAGCCTGGCTCCCGCAAGCTCGCTGCAGGCACATCTGGACCACAGCTGTTCCACATCTTCAGCTTCACCCCTGGAGAAGCAGCACAGGGTGGGGAGCACTGGACTCATGCTCTGTGGGAGAAAACAAAGCCCTAGAGTGTTGTCTGTCACTATGTTTAATGCTGTTTGAGCCTTGTTCAAGTCCACATGAATTTACAGAGCTGACTGAGGTCAGCTGTGGGTATTCTCCACAGCAGCTGATGAAATTGAGATATTCCACAGGTGCTGACTGGGCTTGTAAAATGGGCCTGAGTGAGTCTGCATTTGCTCTCTTTATCTGTGTCAGTGCTCTGGCTTGTATGAGCACACAGAAATGCTCCCATGAGGAGGTGTGGTGCTACAGCATCATCAGCATTCTGATGCATGAGTAGATTCAAAGATGGTTTTGCATTGAAAGAACCTTGACTTGGCCAGCTTGTAATGTCTACACATCAATGTCTTGGGCATTGAATGGTTCCAGAGCATGCTGGAAATAAATAGCTATGTTTTGATGATTGGTGGCTTTAAATTAGAAACATTTGTTTGTGAATGCTGCCTGAGGTGTGGGCAGTTGTTTTTGCTCATTAAGCTTATAGGTATTCAGCAGTTAATTACAGTAAGGTGCTAAGGGCAACCCGGAGGAAAGGATTTTAGTCAGAGTTGGCCTTAAATAAAGTTCTCAGAAGGTACAGAATTAAAACAGTGACAAGCTTTAAATATTTTTTTTGGTTTTCTGTGGATATGAAGAAAGATAGTCTTACTTATTAGATTATTTGACTACATGTGTACAAGGTTACAGTTAATCCAAGAGTAAATACTTTTTCATATACTGCTTTTATGTATATTTCTTTTAGAATAACTATTCTAGGCCTAGTTCAGTGTTTAGGGCAAATTATGAAGGATCCATCTATGGACTTCTTGACTTGTTTTTTTCATTCTCTATCTTTTACACCAGACATTTTAAAAAGTGCTTTTTTTCTATGAAATGTCTTGACTGTAAATGCAAGGCTCTGCAGCACGCTGAATTTACTTCAGCCCATAGATCTGGTATTTCTAACAGCCCTGATGTCCTCCTTGGCACTAAGTCTGTATTCCAGCATTAATTGACTGTTGGAGTTCAGAGAGTTCATTAGCTACTTCATAAGTAATTTTATGCTGCAGGAAACTTTCATTGTTCGTAAGTTACTAAAGCCAGGGCAGTGGCATCAACTCTTTTATTGGATACATTTTCTATTTTATTCACTGTTTAATGTATTTTTGCATTGTTATGAATTTATCATCTACTTAGAAAATTCTAGTCATGGAAAAACATTGGAAGAATGAATTCATTCATTTCCTTGGTGAGCGTGTGTGGTATTTTGCTGTTTCAAGTTAGAGATTTAGAGTATGCCTTTGGCAAGGTAGAATTCACAGAGATTTAACATTTAATAACTTCTGGAGTTATTATAAATAGTGCCTGTGAATCAGCCCTACATGAAAATAACTTTCAGGGATGTTCTTTAGATTGTATTTCAGTCATGTAGGAATGCTTTAATGATTTCCTATTTATTATTATTATTTTTAGCCACCATGTTTGACACAGCGTTAATAAAATCAATATATATTAAGGCATATTTCATAATGTTAAATTAAAATGAAGCTAGTTGGGCTGCTATTTAGATCTCAGTGAATTACATCAAAAAGACATAGAGCCATTAAAAAGACTATGAATATTACACATGGTCTGCATAGTCCCAAATTGTAAGTAAGAGCTGAGAGCTGAAATACATTTACTCTGCAATATTTATTTAGGTATACCTTTAAGGAGCATGGGTGGCCAAACTCTTGGCTTACCTGGGTGGCACTGAGTGAAGAGCAAATATCTGAGGCTGCAAGTAGGTCGGTTGCTGTGAAAGTGATGCCTCCTATTTATTTTCATGGAAGCTACAATAGATAAAAAGAGCATAATAACAATTAAGACCAAATTCTCAGCTGCAAAATGCAGTGGTTGCAGTTCTTATTGAGTTCTCAATGTGTCCATCAGATTTTTCTGATGAGACTTTACTCCTCCCATGCTTGATCTTTGACAACAGTTGTTCACAAATGTACGTCCTGCCAAAAAATGATGGCATGAATGAGATGTGACTGAAGCAAGAGATGTTTCTGTGGTAGTATGGGTCTTACAGAAATCTGGTAAAGGGATGAGATGGAATGTTTGAATTGAATGTGTGGTTGCAACTTGGTATATTCCACTTGAAAATTCGCAGGTTATGTATTTATGTTGGCTGAAAAAGAAGTTGCAAGTAAACAAAACCAGTGTTTTTTTGCAATTTTGAAACCTATTCTCAAGGCTGCCTAATTTTCCACTGTTCACAGGACTATGCTTAGGCAATGCATCAGAAGACATACAGTTTGCCATAATTTCAGCTAGCACTGCAGCGTGTCCCGATTTCAGCCCAGACAGTGCCAACTGCACAATGATGTTTGGTTGTCATTGAGTGATGTGTGAGTGTCCTGAGCTGAGCCGGGCTGCTGTGCACCATGATGTGGTGGGGCTTGGGGTGGCTGCAATATGGGCTGGGCTGTGTGCAGCCTACAGGCCATGTGTTGGACTTGCCTGTTATAAGGTTTGGGGAAAAAACTTCTTCACTTCAATCAAATCTGGAAACAAAAAAAAAGAGAGCCTCCAAATATCCATCTTCTAACCTCAGTGGAGATCCTGCCTTTGCAATGTAATGTGTATGTGGATTTAAAGAGAATTCAGCTCTGGAATACTAAAAGTATTTCTAAATAATTCCCTGCAGTCTCCAATGGTGAAAAGCAAAACAAATGTGCTACTTACAGCTGTTCTGCCTTCCCAAGGGACACAGTACAAGAAAAATTGTAGAATTAGTAGATTGTTACAATTCTGTCTCTATATATATATATATTCTGAAATAGAATTTTTTATTTTAAAGCCTCTTGAAATCTGTTTAGTCATGTTTTTTTGGTGTTTGTTAATTCCTAGTGAAAGGTAACTTGCTATCAAATTATTTTCCACCAACTGTATTATCATTAAAAAAAAAAAAAAGCAAAAAACAAGCAAACCTGATCTTGGGATGTTTGTTGTAATTAGTGAGTGTTCTTTTAGGAAAAAGAAAATGAAAATGTAATGGCAAAATACATAACCTAAGTTCTGTAGAAAATGTGGGATGATTTGTGTATGAACATTGAGGTCAAGATGAATCCAGTCCCTGTGATGCTCGGTTTTTGTGGCAGCTGATGGTCAACTGCTGCCAATCAACTGCACTTCATGATTTGTCTGCTGCTTGTCAATGGCTCCTGGAGAACTGAAAACCACTTCCAAAGAATCTCATCCTTCATGAGAGTGCCAGCTATCCAAATGACTGTGTTTACCAGTCATAGCCTTGGCTCACGCAGGATTTGCTTGTTGAAGCTTGAGTTTGATTATATTCCAAATGATTGCTCTTGCTTACAGATTGATCAGTTCTGCTGCAGAGCCTGATGAGTTCAGGGGGCTTGGTCCCTGGAAGAGAATGGTGGGAAGAGATGCTTATGCAAATAAGACTGCCATCTGTGCTTACATTAGCTGGGAAGAAAAATACCATATGAAGGCTATTAATGTTTCAAATCATTGACTGAAATTAAAAGGATAAGTTATTTTATAACAGCATATCCATGCTATGGTATAATTATTTTTTCTTTGATTAAAGGTAGTAGAAAACTTATGTATTAAAATAAACAAAA